CCTCCCCCCCTTGCTGTGCACCATAGTCATCGTGATCTTACTTTAGGGGTCCTTTCATGTGTATGGGCCCAAATATTTCTCATCAAAAGTTCGATAAGACCGGAACATGAGTTATGATCTTGATGAAGAAGATGACAATGGAGAAACAAACACGCAAAAGAAAGAGGCCCGTAAAATAAATTTTCTTCACCTCTTCATTAGATTCTTCTTCCTCCAATTCGTCTTCATCAGCCTCCTGTATCACAGTGCAGTAACTGTTATAGAATAAACATGTTGCAAACGTTTAATCAAGTACAATTTCAGCTTGTGCGTTGAAAAATGGAAAACCAAATCCTATCCAAAAAGAAAAATCGAAAACCAACGATGCAGAAAGAAACATACATTATGGAAGTAAGATAGTGGATTAGGCCATAAATCCTCCTTGATAATTTCTGCAACCTGCACAAAGAGAATTTCAAAAAAAATTGAAGTGAAGGGACAGTCCTCGAAATGATCATGGTTTTCCTATTTTTTGAATTGGAAAGGATTTTTCTCTTTTCATTTTTTTTTTGAGAAATGTAATCTAATACCATGATGCTACCCTGATTCAGAGATGCAAAAGCCATATTCAATTAAAGACCTTTTAATAGGGGCGGTGATCTGAAGGAGCATGCAAAATAATTTCATCTTACCTCATCATGAAAGTCGTCGATGTCTTTCTGTTCTGTATCGCTAAACCAACTAAAAAAGCTGCACCCAAAACAGGAAAAAGTGCACTACCAGTGAGGTCATGCGATTCGAGAACTTAGTAAAAAGAACTTCAAGGCATTTTCTTCATTTTTTGAACAAGAGGTATGCCACTTATCAATGCATTCATCGATAATAAGATTATAACTATGACATCAGACTAATACTTTGTTAGGTATCCGAATACACTAAACGAACCAAGATAACTATATTGCAATACCAACGAGATAGTTACAGTATCAATAGCCAATAGCCTTTCGAGAGGGCTATCTCTCTCCCACAAACCATGCTAAGTTCTTCACCAAAATACTATTCCCAAAGATCTCCTTCCCTTCCTACTACTTCCATTTATAAGAACTCACCCCTAACTAATTACCATAATACCCCTCACTAATATACTAATAATATTTCCAAACTATCCCTACTAGGACTCTCACATACTTATACTTAATATTCAAGTGAGCGACAAAACCTTTCTAGCATTCTCCTTCCATTTTGAAGATTTTTAATACATACTCCAAAAGGTTATAAAATCCTTTTCACAGGAAAGTAAATTCCAGTTCAAATTCTCCGGAACTACTAACCAATGTAAGTGGTAATATAGCTAAGCTTCAGTACTCAGAAATAAGAAAAGAATGTCTATCTCCAACCACCAAAAAAAGTAAACTATGAATCATTCAAACTGATGTATTATTACCCAACAAAAAGGTTGTCCTTCCCCCATCACGAGACATTTCAAAAAGATCCGGATATCGCAGAAGAAAAAATGTGAAACAAACTTGTGATCTTTGTCTTAATCTGCATTTGTGACCTTAGCCTTAAGGCAAGCTTTGGAATGAGGTGCTAGAAAAAGAATTGAGGCACACACTTCATGAACCATCTCATTTTTCAGAGCCTAAATCTCTGTGGTCATTTGCCTTCTTTTTATCAACTCAAATCCTTGTATCTTTTGATGTCCATGGAATCTGGAGTCAGGTAAAAAATAATTGGATAGGGGAAGAAAGAAGAGAAAATAGCATGCTGTCAAAACTATTAGTATAATATAAATTTCACCCTCCCACTATTCTCTCTGTGTTGTTTCCACTTTTCCAGTCATTCTTAACACAATTTTTAAATATTGGATCTTCCATTATTTTAATCGTTCCTTTCTAAAGCTCAGTCTGTGATTTCCCCCATCTCCAACAAATTTGAACTTCAGCTATCACTTATCCCCTCTGCCAGCAATTTGAACATTTCTTTTCCTCTCAAGTTTTTTAAAACATTTTAATAGTCTTCTGTCTCTTTTCATACTATTTTGTTGCATCATGGATTGAACCTTGTTTTTTTTTTCTCAGTTAACTTTTTCAGTTAGCTCGTGTTCTTGATATTGGGTTTTACCCTCATTGGGCTGTTTTCTTAACCGTTCCCTTTCTTCCTTTTCTCTACATGTTTTCAAAAGATTATATGCTCTCCTAACTGTTAAATTATTTTTAAGAAATGCTAGAAATGTGTTATCAATAAGTAATTCAGTCAATTCGATTCTGGTTACACCCAAAAATTTAAAGTAGAGTCATGTTTGACCAAGGATTAAGGAAATTTCCAACCAAATATAGACTAGGGAAGTAACATTTAGTAAATTGAGGCGCATGAGTCATTTCACCTCAAAAGTTTCCCTTCACTTTTTTGCAGTAAAATGCCTCGAAAGATCAGCCTTTTACAACACTGGTTGCAATCTAGTATTACATGAGATTCGACTCAGATAGCTAATATGGATGGCGGTTCTTTCCTCATAACTTCATACGAGTTTGTATACATATGAATTTGCATAAATTAGACAGTACAGTAACAGTGCTTTCATAAATAACCATGAGATCAATAAAATAAATACTCTAAATGGAGATCATAGTTAAACAGGTTTTAACAACCAACCTTTCCTCAGTCTGAGGCCGTTTGTTCCCTTTCTTCTCATGATTAAACCCATTAGGTAAACCCTTCAGATACATGAAGTAGGGCAAAAAATTAGTGAAAATAACTTCACTAACTAATATGAGTATTAATCCACACAAAATTTCTCACCATTCCATCTTTCCATTTGATCGACGTGGCATTAATTTTTCTTGTTCCTTCATCAAGAAAGGTGAAGGTCTTCGTCAGCTTTGTATCTTCAAAATAAGGGTTGGAGTTGAAGTTCTGTAGAATCAAAGAAACAACAAAGACTCTTTAAGACGTTTATTGGTTGAAAAAACTGAAATATAATGTAAGGAACAAAACGGCAAGAGATCCACAATATGAAAAGTTAAAGCAAAATGAAGCAAAAAAACAGAAAAGGACCAAGCTAGAGGAATGATTCAAACTCACAAAAGTAATCGAGTAACCCGATTTGACATCTTTAAAATCTTCCACTTCTAGGGAGGTGAGATGTTTGAATATCTATCGAAGAAGAAAGAATAATCAGCGTCTAATGGACATCTATGAGCTTATGATTCTTTAACCAAAGTATGAGAGCTTAAAATCAGTTTCACAAAAATAATCCACCATTTTACTGACAATTTCATTTACAATTTTGAAAACAGAACAATGAAAAGAAGAGAGAAACTGAACCTTTTGATCCTCTTCAGTCAAAAGTTCACAAAGAGCAGGATGACTCAAGAACTGCACGTTGAGAAAGAATCAGTTATCAAATTCTTCAGCATGACAAGAAGTTCATTACCAATTCAAAGATGTCAGATTTGAGAGGATATCACTAACAGCTGTTAGCCAGAAATCAGGAATTGATTTGATAATGTCATTCCGCTTATCATAAACAGGCTTTCGTATCTCATTGTACTTCTGCTCCACTTCCAAGACTCTATCACTGGCCTCCTCATTGATCTGGAAGAAACACAAATTATTGCAAAATAAAATTAATCATAGTCTAGCAACGATAGCATAAAACTAACTACACGCCCTATCCATAAGATAACATCCTTCTACACCACTTAGAACCATGTACAGGAACAGAAACAAACAGAAACACCCAACCAACAGTTCCAGTAAACATTATAACCATTGGGTCGCAAGAACACTGAACTTGCGGCAAGTAATGCATATATAGGGAGTAAATCAAGACGAACATAAATCAAAACTCATTTTATCCAGGCATTAGTTCAGGCTAATGGTCAGCAAACCTGTAGAATGTAGAAGGAAAATCAAATCATAACACACACAGCGAACAACGCCAGGCATGGTTAATGAATATAAGAAGGCAGAATCAGATTTCCCAAGAGGAGGCGAAGGAATCAAACGTCAAGCATTGGCATTCTAGAAACAAGCTTTAAGCTTTCGGTAACAATTAAAGTAAAAGAAAATTCTGAAGCACCAATTGAGTTAAGTGAACAGAGGGGTGGCAAGAAAAGAAAAGGGAAGAAAATAGGAGAAAGAATGATGGAGGGAAGGGAGCAAAGAGGCGTTGAATTAGTACCTTCTCGAGCTCGTCTTGAATTTCCTGCAACTTCTCGATGGAGAGAACGAGTTTCTCGTCGATGACCTCGGAATTGTCGTCTTCCCCCTTTTCGGGGAGCTTGGCCTTCTTGCCCTTGTCAGCGACCATCTTGAAGAGCAATGAGCAATGGGGAAGAGAGAGAGGTGTAAAACTAAAACCCTGGCGCTCTCTTCGTTGGGGAATGAGAAGATTGTCAATGACACACACCACACAACTTATACTTAACTTAGGGTTTTGGGAGCTCAAATCTCCTCCAATAACAGAATCTACGCTCCATTGCTTTCCACCAATCATCTCCTGCCACCTAATCACATGTACCACGAAATTATGTTGACCTTTGACCAATGCTCAATATTTCCCTCTCCTTTTTTATTTTCCCTAATGAGATTCAGTTTAATAATTTTATAAGCGGGTATGATTTATGAATTATGATTATGATGGTGGGAATTTTGGCGGGTCGGGCAATTTGTAAAATTATGTAAATTTTAAAACTTTAAATGTTATTATTATTCGAGAAATAATTTAAGCAATACTACTTAAAGATTTTCCTTATTTAATTGAACAGAGTGGAGATTCCAACTTTTAACTTTTTTTTATCAATTTAGATTATTAACTTGTATCATTCATGTGATACAAGTCCAACGTGGATTTCGATCCCTTATTAGTATCATTTGAAGGACTTTAGTTTAAGTTCGATCCATTAATCTTCTAGTTTAATTTTACTCGTATAAACCTTGGGGTTGATAATAATAATTAAGGATTTTATTTTTTTCCCAATAAAATTAAAATGGTAATTTTAGTATTATTTTTTCTTTTAACAGAAATATAATACCACAATGTCTTAAATGATTGATTATTTTATATATTGTTTATGACTTAATACAATAATTTCCTTTAGAAAAAACAAAAACAAAAAATCAATTGTTTTAATATAATCATCATGAGTGGTTCATTAGTCTAAAAGAGTTAGGATTAATTAAGAGAAATGAGTTCAAACCCCGTAATGGCTACCCTAACTTAGGAATTAATAAATTTTATGTGTTTCCCGACATCAAATGTTGTAGGATCACCGAAAAAAATTATTTCTATTACGACAACTATATATATATATTGGTAATAAGTGGGATGGAAGATTCGAATTCGTTACCTATTGATCAAAAACAAAACAAATGTCAATCACTAATTAGCAAAGCTTGTATTGGCAAATAGTAAAACACATTTAATTCAAGATTGGGATATAATCTTATAATATCTCTCAATAAATTTAGTTAAGTTTTATATTGTTACACTGTCGTCTATGATACATTCACTTAATGTATTTGCATAAGTGTCTAAATAATACTGTTTGTAGCATCTCTCAGAGGTTAGTCACATTAAAATGTTATTAGGACAAGACAAAATTTTATTTGTATAATTATAGATTGCTTATGCTATATGTCAAATTGTACAGTGAATACCCTATCTTATTCATATAATTTGAGATTGTCAAAGGGACCAGAGACCACAGTTACAGGCTCTCTCTGAAGCCCAACTCCATTGTTTATTGGATCCTGTTTGAAACTTCAGAGCCCATACCCTATATTTGGGTAGCTACTAATATGGGTATTTGAAAAATAAAGTTAAACTTTAGACTAAAATTCCAAACTTATGAGCCACTCTAGCTGATAAGTTGTGTTATCAGACAGAGACAAGACAAGTTGTTATTCATTTTCCTTCCAACTATCACTAATAATTGTATATACTTATTAAATAAACTTTAAAATATGTATGGTTGATTGATTAATATATAATTTAAAAAGTTTGAAATTTAAACATGAAGGGGAGAGGGAAGGGAGGCAAAGCTAAAGACTTCAATGGCCTTCCATTCTAAATGGTTCAAATGAAGCTACTAATCACTGTCTACATGCCTTTTAGTTTAGCTTACAGATGTGATATTAATCCAACCTTCAATTTGGTCCCCTTCACAACATTCCTTCCATGGACCATGCCCTACAATTTTGTTATTCCACCAACAAGAGGCTCCAATTTTCTCTCTCTCTCTCTCATGTGCATTTATAACTTATTTTACCTACTTTTTTGTATTACTTCTTTGTCACATCATGCACATGGGTAATGGGTTTATAAAACTCTCATTTCCCTGTGCTAGTTTTGCAGATGAAACTTTGAGGTTATATGACATGTTCTTGCTTGGCAACTGTGTTAGCATCCAACACATGTAAATTTCCATACATGCATACATATTTTTGTTTATATACAGTAACTTGCTGCTTCAGTGGCAAACATGACATATTCTCCATGGACCAACCCTGAGTTCCTAATTTTGTTTCAGTAAGTGCTGTCATTCATCCATAAACAATGCTTCTGCAATAGCTCTGCCCACTAATGGTTAGAGATGCAGTAAGTTTTAATGTTCCAGAAAGTGTTGGAAGCTGCAGTTGGATGAATTTTATTTTGTTATCCAAACAAGCCAACAATGGATCAATCTTTTCATGCCTGCCATATGGCCTTGGACATATAGCTTTTCAGGTAATGTTTGTAAAGTTGTACAGTATATGTTTAGTTATTATCCAATAGTTTTATTTGCTGTTTGATTATATGGATTTGCCCAAATCTTGTGGATGCAGTGTTTACTAGATTTCCAACCCAGTTTCTGTTGAGTGAAAGGGAAGGAAAAGACCAATGGGTTCCACCATGGCAGTGAGATGGTTGCAGAATTTAATGCTCCCAACCCAACTTGCTCCAGCTTCTATTTTCCTTTTTCTCTCTCTCTCTCTTACCTGAAAATTTCCACTACTCATTGAAATTTTCTTACCCTCCAAACATAAATACATGGTTGTTTTTCTTGAATTTTGATGTTACAAGTCACGAGGGCATTGTCCCTAAAGGCCATTCTTGTCATTTGCTCTGTTTATTTTCGCAACTGGGTTTCTTCATTTGTTCAAGAATTTGTGAGAGTTTGAAGATCGATTAACACCAAATGGAGAGTTAACTGTCATTTCTCATTGTGCTTGTTTCTAGATCTCTTGATATTTTTTTATAAAGCAAAAAAGAAAAATCTTATGGGGTTTTTCCCACTTGGAAATAAAGTCCAAACCAGATTTACTGGTGAAATATATTGTAATTGCCAAATCATACAGACATAACAATCCTGTCCTGTCGGATGTATATGTAAAGCTTAACGACACACATCTTGAAGCAATAGGCAGCAGTTAGGGACATAATTTCAACGCTTGTGTTGCTTTGTTAGGCACGCATTACCTGTAGGGCCTTTGTTTTTCCTTTGTTTTTTTAAAAAATAATGAAGCTACATGGCCAACTTAAAAGGCCATGGCCGTGTTTTCCAAAAGTATCTCTCAGTTCTACAACTAAAAAACGAATCATGGAAGACCAAAATAACTGTGCATCAATGAATCATGAACAAAAAACCAGAACACAGTAACTCAGAAGTTTGTTTCTCAGTGAATGTTCCTCTCTTACGGTCTTACCTTACTGACTTTGCAATCAAGATTGTCGCATTTTGAAGACTAGATCATGTGCTTATTATCCATTATTATACATAGACTAAAAGGGTGAAAAATAGAAAGTAAGACAATCAAGTTTTTTTTTTTTTAATGTAAATCTAATCATCATGATTGACAAATCCCAGTCTCCCATTTGACATGTTCCAATTCTACTGCACATTCACAGAAATAGTAATGCTATTTAACACTGTGATAATGGCAGTTTCTGCAAGCATAAACATAATTTTGTTGATAGAGGAATCATAATCTTCCACATTAATCTAATCTCAGCCTGTTGCTTTACTAGCAACTATGGTTGAGTCCAATCTTGGGAAACGTCTAGAATCAGAATTCAACTTCTCAATGTTTCTGTAGGCAGTTCCAGCTATGCTGACTGCCTTCTGACTCCTACACCCTAACAGTCCACTGGGGTGGCTTTTTTGCAAATCCTTGTCTTCTATGGTTTTAATTTTGGCTGTGACCTTCTTTTCTTCATAGTCTGCAACAGATGAGAAATCAGCTGCACTGGCTGTGACTGCACTCCATTCAATGCTGGCTTCACTTGGCTCATAAGCTGTCGTGGAGCTTGATATAACATCTGAAGTCTGCCTCGTAAATGGCTTTCCATTGCTTCCGCATATGTTCTCGATCTCAAACAGATCAGAACTCGCATCGCTCGCTATGTCTTCATTCAATTGATCACCTCTTGGAGCAGTTTGTGTGGCCTTGGCTTTTGGAATGGCATCCCATTTTAGAACAGACAGCTTCCTCTCTAGATTCTTAGCCACTAAGTCTTTCTTATCCAACTTGTTTGAGCCAAATACTTCAATGGATTTTCTTGGATCTTCATCTTTGATCTTTGCAAAATTTTGCAACTGAGAGCTAGAGATTGGAAACACCAACTCTTCTTCTCTAGTTGACCCACCAGAATTTGAAATTTTTAGTTTGTGTTTCACCAAAGTAGCTGTTTGAAACTTCATTCTACCATTCGAGATGGCAGGATTTTGTTCATTCCTAGAAGCTTCTTTTCTGACATCACTCCCTTGTAATCCTCTTTGCTCATGCAAATTCCTATGGACAAGAATGGATTTTTTATCAGAACAAGACCTGTTGCAGGTAAGGTTGACCAACAGGCTTCTTCCTTTTGTCTTGTTTTGGATGTTGTGGGACGAATTTCTCAAGAAACTTGGAAACAAAGCAGCTTGGCTATTCCAACTTGATTCAGAAGACACACTTGGAGTTCCTGATCTGCTCTTTTGTCTCCTATACTGCAAATCAGGTCGGTGTTCTTTCTTCTTTACTTGGTTGCTACCACAATTCTCAACAACTCTCGTGTTGTCATGATATTCCAATTTCATGCCGTAGTACCTTTCAGCTCTGAACACTCCAATCTCATCTTCTACACCCGCCTTCTTCATGTTTTTGGAACACACAGTCTTCTGGTTTGAGCAGACAGCAGAAGGCAGTTGCTGCTGTTCAGACTTCACAGGATTGTTCTGTACGATATTGTCTTCATTTGATGCAAGATATGAAGAGATCAAGGCATTGGCAAGATGGGTTTTGCATTCACTTCCCATAGTGATTGAAACCTGAAGGATGTTGATGGTTCAAGAGGAGTGTAAAAAAACAGAATCTGAGGACCAGGAGAGAGCAGAGAATGAAGGAGATCAGAGAAGCTGGTTGGAAGAGCAGAAACGAAAAAGAAACAAGTACAGAATGATGGACAAAGACCAGTGTGGAGGATGTATAGAAGTTATTGGGAGATTTTGGAGCAAAGACGGGCTTTGAAGAAGTAAAAAATATGGGAAAGAAAGTAACTGATTAAGGCAAAGAAGGTTTGGAGATAGCGTGGCAAGTTGGAAGCCAGTTCCAACTTAAGTAGGCTTCAAAGGATTAGATCCTTGACACCCAAAAGAGAGAAAAAAAAAACAAAAACAAAAACGAAGAAGGGTCCTACTTGAAAGAGTTCGATTGGCAGCTTGATTTGACTTTCATCAACACCTTATTAATCATTAATCAGAGCAGATATGGTTCTGTAAACTAGAAGCTTTCTCCAACTGTTTCAGATGAGCTTTTATAAACAGAACCACTATTATACATGGAAATCCATATCATTGTTAAAATTATCAACCGAAAAATTTAAAAGTCAGTTGTCTGAGTCTTCAATTATATGCTTAAAACCCCACATGATACATGCTGTTTTATTTTCCAAGAATTGCAGAGGCGTTAAATTATTGTCACTTTTCCCCCTTTTTTGTTCAGCTGGGAAAATATGGAAGATCGTAGGGAAATAAATTACCTCTAGTTTATGACTCTTGTTTTTGAAACATCTGCTTATAGACGTTGGGAAGAAAAACAGAATGAAATGTTTAATTTTTTCCAATGACAGAAAGAAAACAAACCAGCTTTTGATGGCCTTACTATTATTTTATTGTTATCATCAGAATATTACAAATGGCAGATTACAGACCTTCAAAAAAAGGAAAAGGGAAAAAGGAAAAATTGTGGAGAGTGGGATTTGAACCCACGCCCTTTCGGACCAGAACCTTAATCTGGCGCCTTAGACCAACTCGGCCATCTCCACGTTGTTGTTGATTATCTTGTAGAAATAAATTATATCTATACAAAAGTAGCCGCCTTTCTCGAATCCACACGATTTTTCAAATTCCCGCAGTGTTCAAAAGTAGCTTAGATAGACAATAGAACTTTGTACTGGTGTCTTGAACTTCCAAATATTGTTGTGTATATATAATAAAAGATGTAAAATGCGGCTATCTCAAAAGCATGAACTTCATTCTTCTTACAGGAAACGGAACAAAATACATGAGGCCTAAGGACTAGCAAAAGAGAAAACTCTCTAGTGAAATGTTTTACAAAGAGATTAGCTAGTAGCATCCTTGAATATAAGCCTGTTAAGTTTGTTGTGCTTCAACGGGCATCTAAAGAACATTCGTAATTGTCCTGCAATTGCTGCCTGTGATTCACAGAAGGCCCCTGCCAAGCTTTCCTATTGAAAGACGTTTCCGTCTCATTTTCCACAATAAAATTCTTAAATTCATTGCTCTCGTGCTGCACCCTCCCAGTAATTTCCAGGCAAATGCCTTTGCTTACGGCTTTGTTTGGATTTCTGCCTTTGGTGGATTTCTCTCTGGGGCCTGGATCTAAAAAGACAGGATGTATTTGAAGAGTTGGGTTTGGTTTAATCCGGTTCACTTCTCTTTCATCCAATGGCCGCAAGATATTGTTATGTGATTCGAGTTCAGAAGCATCGTCTTCATTCAAAAGAACCTACAGAAGATAAAAAAATCATTAGCGATGGTCTATCCTTAAGCATCAACAAAATGCCGATGGAACCTGGAGAAGCTAGCTTTCAAATAATGTATTTCAGGGTAAGGGATGGTCTAGATCTATCCATATGTTGTTGAAGGGTTGGTTATTTGGAAGAAAATACTTGGTCAATAGTAAAACAAAAATGATGTATTACCTTGCGGCCAACCAAGTCAAAGGTTACAACCACTTTGTTTCGTTTAGCTCGCTCTGCTTCTTCAATCTCCTCTTGCTTCTTTCTCAAAAGCTCCTTTTCCTGAAACAAAAAAGGATACATTTGCAAGTCAAATTTTAATACGAAATTAGATAGTGTATCAGTTACTGATGCTGCAAGAAGTTCGCATACCTCGTTGGACAACCAGCTGTTGCCCTCAATCTGGTAATAATCACTTTGGTCATCAATTACAGATGTCCTTGCAGCAGAGTTTCTGTCATATTCAACTAACCTTTTTGCATAAGCTTCAGCTGCTGCTTCAGCATCTGAAAGCGGGGTAAAACCTCCATCCATACCAGCATACGTGCTCCCTTCGCGCAGCACAAGGGAACCACAAAAACTGCATGGCCCTTCTCCCTCTTGTTCACATACAATCTTGCCACATGATAAACAATTGCTCACTAGTCTATGACGACGAGCTTGACATGAACATGGTTTTCCTTGCTGGAACACAATCGATCCTTTGGCAGCTTCAGCCAGAGAAACAACTTTGGTAGCCTTCTTCTTTTTGGAATAACTCTGATTTCCTCTACCAGACGATGAGTTGCGACTGTCAGATGGATCTTGGTTTTCCACATTACTAGAGCCTGTAATCTTCTTTGGTTCTACCTCTTTACTGGAGATAGAAATGGTTTTTGGTGTCTTAACAGGTTTCTTGGATCCACTGAAAGAACCTTCATGAGAAGGTGGCTTGACATAGGCATGTAATTTTGAAGTTGGAACATCTGACGTTTTGCTGCAGAGGTCAGAGTGACCTCGCAACCGCAAATACTCATCTATCACACTTTTCCCAAATTCCTGACCTATGATGTTCTGCATAAAAGTGAATCCAAAGAGTTCAAACTTCTCAAAGATTGACCACAAATTCATGTTAAAAGATAAGTGGCGTTCCAATAATCAGATAATTAACTTGCATCTCTCCTTTTTCCCTTAACCGTATTTTAAGTGGAACAAGCAACTAAAACCACGATGTTTACAAATTACAAGGAACCCCTCAATTTATATGCCAATGCAAGAACAGTACCCAGCCCAACAACTCAAATCTTGTAATCACGAGTTCTTATTTCTTTAATATGAATCCTGCAGTCATCAGTTACTACATAAATACAGAAAAATGATGTGGAGGGTGGGGTAAGGACCGTATATGTGGAAGATCTAACGTCGTCAAAAGTCATTTTCACTACCAAACAAGCCTACATACAAATTTATATTTACATGTACGAATGGTTAGAGAGAAATAATGGGGAGAGAGTCTCAAAAACTTCATTCTTCTTTTGACGGGGTGCAGGAGTGACTTTGGATAACATTTAAGACAAGCTCAGAAGGTTACCTTAAAGACCTTATTTTCGGTTTCACCTAAGAAGGTTATTTTTTCTTGAAAGCATGCATGCATCAAAGATCACATAAGGTCTTTGAAGACCTTATCTACGAAGGAAGACAACTATCCTTCCCTCTGAATTTGTACAAATACAAAACTCAAAATGTTATTAGTTTTATAGCAAGCAATATTTTACCAGGATAACTCAATTGGTTAGGACATATATCTTTAATCAGAGTTTCAAATCCCCATTGAACTCAAAATAAATAAATAAATAAATATCCCGAGGAAAAGAAATGGTGATACTTTTTCTCTTCACTCACCATGAAAGAACGAATAATTCTCAAATATCATGAACTAACATATATTTCTTAATATCATCACTATCAAGAAACAAGGAACGAAATTCACTTTTCTCTATCACAGAATTCCAAACAGATCAAATGCAGAAAATTGACTTTCATTGAAGCAATCTATCCCTCCGAGGAACCGTTAAACGCCATTTCAGTAGAAAGCCTGAGATTATCGAAAACCTTCATTCGGGAATCCAAGCGTGTAACCAGATAAATTGGCTAATAGTCAATACTTTTACTTTTCTGATCTAAACGTCATAATTTCACATCATTCAAATAAGAGCTCCATAATAAAGTTCTCGAGGCAAATTTTAGGACCAAGCCAAGACACTCCAAACTCATCAACAATACCTAAAATCAGTCACGAAACTTACAGAAAGGCATATATGGTTCAAATTATTGAAAGAGAGAGAGCCGAGAGAAGACATTTACATCAAGATACTCTTTAGCGTCTTGTGGTTGGGCGAGCTCACAATACGAGACCAAGCCCGAAATCATATCCTTGTCCAGGCCCCAACCAATTTCCATCTTCTGGCAGAGATCGTCCAACGCCTTCTCCAGCCACTCTCCGGACGTCGCCATTCTCTCTCTCCGACGAGAGCCCAATCGACTAATCGGGCAGGCTTCAAGCCTCGAAAACTATGAGAGCGCGAGCGTGAGCGACCACTGGTAATCGGTTATTTGGTGCAGACGCATTTAAGATCTTGCCACGTGCATAAGCCGCACGTGGGTCGAAAAAGATTACTTACGTTGTGATTACATAAAAAAAATACTCTGTGAAACATGACGTCAAGATGGCCGAGTTGGTCTAAGGCGCCAGTTTCAGGTACTGGTCCGAAAGGGCATGGGTTCGAATCCCATTCTTGACATTTTAATTTTTACTTCACGTGTCTGCAAGTGTGCATCATCTCTTACGACCTGTTTTGAGTCTATTTGAAAACAAAAAGTCCTCAAACAGGAGGAGAAGGTTTTTGAAAATACAGAGTATTCTTAAAAGAACATTCAACGTCGGAGTGCTGGAGATAAAGGAAAAGTCGTTCATTATCATTACAAACTGCTCTTATTTATAGACTAGTCTTGATGGGTCTAATGCGATCAGGAAACTCAGAGAGACATCGACAATGGCGGAGGAAAACAAAGTGGTGCTTCACGGAATGTGGGCAAGCCCTTTTGCGAAGAGGGTCGAACTTGCCCTAAGAATCAAGGGCATCCCCTTCGATTACGTGGAAGAAGATCTGAAGAACAAAAGCTCATCCATCCTCAATTACAATCCCGTCCACAAAAAAGTCCCCGTCGTCCTCCACAATGGAAAACCCATCTCGGAATCATTTGTAATACTCGAGTACATCGACGAGGTGTGGAACAACGAGGGCCCTCGCCTTCTCCCTCAAGACCCCTACACACGAGCCCAGGTCCGGTTCTGGGCCGATTTCGTCCAGAAACAGGTACAATTATATGCAATGGCTTAATCTGCTTGATTTTTCGATGATTTCTGATTTAGTACGTTTGTGATGGGGCAGTTGTTTGAGGGTCTATTTTCGGCTATCAAGACGGAAGGGGAAGCACAGGAGAGAGCCGTGGATGAAGTCAGAGAGAAGCTGAAAGTTTTTGAAGAACAGGGGTTGAGAAGCTTGCTGGAAGAGGGGAGTCGGTTTGTGAATGGAGATGAAATGGGGTTTCTGGACATAGTCACGTTCACTGTGATTGGGATTTACAAGATTCAAGAGGAGTTTCTGGGGATCAAATTTTTAGATGAAGAGAAGACGCCAATTTTATTCTCGTGGCTGACCAGGTTGAATGAACACCCTATTGCAAAGGAAACAGCTCCTCCCAAAGATAAGCTTGTGGGGCTTCTTCAGTTCGTCAGGCACAATGCTCTACGCTCACCTGCTGTTTGACTTAAATTAAGTTAAATATATGTTTTGATTTTCTGTTTGATTTTGCTAGAAAGCTCTGTAATCCTCTGCCGTTCACACTGTTGCGAGTAGTGAGATAAGTCTAAATAAAACTAAATATTTTAGTTTTAATATTCGATCAATTTTACTATTTAAATTTTAAGATATAAAGAAAATCGTTTGAAATGGAGAGAAACTTAAAAAAAAATTGAACTTTAGAATTATATGCTTAACATCCCTCTAGCTTATTGGATAGGTCTCTGAATTTAATTGTGTCTAATTGATCTTTGACTTTCAAATTTATGTGTAATATGTTTTTTACCTATTAGATATTTTTAAAACTTCACCGACAAACTATACATATAATTGAAAAGTCGATATCTATTAGATACAAAATTGAAAGTTTAAAGTTTAGATGATCAACAAATATATTTTAAATTAGAGATTGTAATGAGTGACCAATAATTTTGTCATATTTACAAATATAGCACAATAAATAAGATTTTGTAAATTCTGTAAAACAAACATCTGGTTGGTCTAGGTGGATCGATAATAGATGCAAGTGATAGACTAATAGATCGAAAATGCTAGAACATATTTTGGGCTAAATTGCCACGTCCAACTATCACTTCTAAATTCATAGATTTATTAGATAGATCATCCGAAGTCGACGAACTTATCAGATATTTTTTAAACATAACTGATGAATTTGACTTGACCATGTGCTTTGCTTGTATTCTTGTTCCTTACTTAAAAATTCTATCCCCACCCATCAGCCAGCTGCCTTTTATTGACTAAGTAGCTCGATTATATAAATGAAAAAACATGGTTCTTGAATATTAATTAAAACCCATAAAACAAGAATGAATGGGGAAACTTGGAAGCCAAGACAAGATGAATTTTCGAACCTTAAATAGAGTAGCCCAAATCTGGAACTGGAAACAGTGAAATCGATGGCTGAGGAAAACAGGGTGATATTACACGGAGCTTGGGCCAGCCCCTACGCTAAAGCGGTGGAACTCGCCCTCCGAGTCAAGGGCATACCATTCGACTACGTTGAGGAAGATTTGAGGAACAAAAGCCCCCTTCTCCTAAGCTACAATCCCGTCCACAAGAAGGTCCCCGTACTCGTCCACAACGGAAGACCCATTTCCGAATCACTCCTCATCATTCAGTACATCGACGAAACCTGGAAGAACAAAGGCCCTTCTCTTCTTCCGAGCGATCCCTACAAACGAGCTCAAATTCGCTTCTGGGTCACCTTCCTACACCAACAGGTACCCAAATTGCAGCCCTTAAATTCCCGATGCGGCCGGGCTAACATGGTCGAGATTTCTGATTGCAGGTGTTTGAAGCGGTTCTGAGGGTTTTCAAGACGAGCGGAGAAGTGCAGGAGAGGGCGGTGGGGGAAGTGGGGGAGAGGCTGGGGCAGGTTGAGGAGGGGCTGAAGGAGCTGATTTCGGAGGGGGAGGCGTTTGTGAATGGGGACGAATTGGGGGTTTTGGACATAGTGATGTGTTCGTTGCTTGGGGCGTACGAGCTTCAGCAGAAAGTGCTGGGAATGACGCTGATTGACAAGGAGAGGCACCCGTTGATGGTGCGGTGGCTGAGTGCTATGGCGGAGCATCCGACGGTGAAGGAGGCAACCCCGCCGCCGGAGAAGACTCTGGGATTGCTTCGGTTTCTCAGGCACAAAGCACTGGAACTGGAATCTGCTGCCGCTTGACTTTCCCTTTCCTTCTCTCAAGGCTATGAACAAATTTGGGTTGTGCATCTTTGTGTTGAACGGGCAAATGAAATAATGTTCAATGTGTGGGCTTCCTTTCGATCTTTTGGATTCTTCTATGGTTGTCTAAATTATGGTTCTGTTTTGTTTTGTTTTGTGTATTTGGAATAAGCTTAAAATTCCCACCCTTTTGCTTGCATTGTGCTATTGTTTTTCAATTTTGCTGATCGTGTTAGTGGACTCTGAAATAGAAAAACGACTAAAAAAAAGAAAGGAAAGTTTAGAGTTGGTTGTGAGAATTAATGGATAAATCGAAACTAAATCCAAATTTTAGATAAATAATATAATATTTTATAGATCTTATGAATCAAATTGGAACTAAACCTGCTGATCTGATTAAATTATAAAATTGATTGAATTTTTTTTTCAAGAAATTGAGAGGTGAGATGGAGATTAGATTATATATTTAGTCAAAAGTTTTAGTTTTAATTTTTGATATCATGTTATTAAAAAAACACACATTTGATTTGTGTGTTGTTTTGACTATATAGCATATTCAAGTCTAAAATAACACATATTTGATTAACTAAAATATTTGATTAAAAACAACATGAAACTCTAATCAATTTTTTCTTTCATCTTTTAATTTCGTGACATATATGGCATGATTATAACTTTTATCGTAAGCTTTAAATTACGTTTGATTTTCTTCGTATTACATTTTGGTCTTCTTCATATTATATTTGATTGGACTCTTATATTTAAAATTTAAATTATGCTATTTTGTAAAATTTCAAACTTTTAAAAAATACACACATATTTATATTATAGGAAAGAAATACATATTGTATTAAAAAAAAGAAAAACATATTTATTATGTAAAAAGAAAAACATAAATGCCTATTATATATGATATTGCTAGCTTGCTTAGGGTGGGTCGGTTGAAAAGAGTAAAGCAGATAAAAGAGAAAATTCTGCTCACCAGAGGAACAGTTCCCAGCTTGGAATGATGTTGGTAAGGACTGAGAATGAATAGCAGGGAACTTCACTGCCTTGCGTTATTGAGCAAATGCAAGAGTCTTAGAACCTTGAAGCAAATCCACGCTTTTACATTCAGAACAGGCTTGGATACCGATCTATTAGTCGCCGGAAAGCTTCTTCTACACTGCGCAGTCACACTTCCTGATTCTCTCCACTATGCTCGACGCCTCTTCCTCGACATTCGGAACCCAGATGTGTTCATGTACAACACCCTTATCCGTGGTCTTTCCGGTTCTGATCATCCCTGCCATGCCCTTCTTCTGTTTGTTGAAATGCGTCGGAAATCTATGGCTCTACCTGATAGTTTCTCTTTTGCTTTCGTGATTAAAGCCGCCGCTAATTGTAGGGCTCTGAGAGATGGGTTGCAATTGCATCGCCAAGCAATTGGTTATGGCCTGGATACCCATCTTTTCGTTGGGACGACGCTGATTAGTATGTATGCGGAATGTGCCAGTCTGGACTTTGCACGCAAGGTGTTTGATGAAATGACCAAACCAAATATTGTTGCTTGGAATGCCGTTGTTGCTGCGTGTTTTAGGTGCGAGGAAGTGAAGGATGCGGAGAAATTGTTTCATCGAATGCCCATCAGAAATTTGACCTCGTGGAACATCATGCTTGCAGGGTACACAAAAGCAGGTGAGCTTCGGTTAGCTAGCAAGATGTTTATGAATGTGCCTGTGAAAGACGATGTTTCGTGGAGTACTATGATTGTTGGGTTCGCTCATAATGGCAACTTTAACAATGCCTTCACATTTTTCAGGGAGTTACGACGGGAAGGGATGAGACCAAATGAGGTAAGCCTTACAGGTGTACTTTCTGCTTGTGCACAAGCTGGGGCATTCGAGTTCGGAAGAATTGTACATGCTTTTGTTGAAAAGTCTGGCTTTCTGCAGATTATTTCAGTGAATAATGCTCTGATTGATACTTACTCTAAATGTGGGAATCTGTATATGGCCCGTTTGGTCTTTGACAAAATGCTCAAAAGGAGTGCTGTCTCTTGGACAGCCATGATTGCGGGGCTTGCGATGCATGGCTATGGGGAAGAAGCAATCAGATTGTTTAGTGAGATGGAGGAATCTAATATCCAGCCTGATGGTGTCATCTTCATATCCATCTTGTATGCTTGTAGCCATGCTGGATTAGTTGAGCTGGGATGTAAGTATTTTTCTAGGATGATAGATCTGTATGGTATCGAACCTGCAATGGAACATTATGGTTGCATAGTTGATCTCTATGGTCGAGCTGGTAAGCTGCAGCAAGCATTTGAATTTGTTTCTCAAATGCCAGTTCCCCCCAATGATATTGTTTGGAGGACTCTTCTTGGAGCTTGCAGCATCCATGGTAACTTAGAATTGGCAGAGAAAGTGAAGAGAAGGCTCTCTGAACTCGACCCTGGCAATTCTGGAGATCACATTCTGTTGTCAAACATTTATGCTGTTTCAGGGAAATGGAATGATGTTGCCACTTTAAGAAGATCAATGACTCACCAGAGACTTCAGAAAACTCCCGGTTGGAGCATGATTGAAGTTGATAGGATCATGTATAGTTTTATTGCAGGAGAAAAGCAAAATGAGATGACAAAAGAGGCACATGAAAAGCTAAGGGAGGTAATGTCGAGGCTGAGGGTTGAAGGGGGTTATGTTCCACAAATTGGAGCTGTGTTGCATGATATAGAATTAGAAGAAAAGGAAGACTCTGTTTTGAAGCACAGTGAGAAGCTTGCAGTGGCTTTCGGGATGGCAAGGTTACCCAGAGGTAGAGGCATAAGAGTGGTAAAGAATCTAAGAATTTGCAGGGACTGTCACACCGTAATGAAGCTGATTTCTAAAGTATATGAAGTTGAAATTGTGGTGAGAGATAGAAGTCGCTTCCACTCTTTTAGACATGGTTCTTGTTCATGCAGAGATTTCTGGTAATTAGTTAACGAGTCATTACCAGAATTACACTTGAAATCAGTGTCCATGTCAGAAGGGAAAGCCAGCTAATGAGCTGATGACAGAAGCAAACCAGAAAACTGGCAACCTGGTGCTCATTAGATCATCAGCCCTTGCAAAGTTAGCAGGTCAAAAGAATACTGTTAAGTAATGAATTAAAAACCCCTACTGATGCATAACTGTTTTCAAGGTTCAAGGGAATAAGATGACTCGGGAAAGAGTTATAAGAGTTCTCCCAGATATATTTGAACTTGTAACCAGTGAAATGATGATGGATGGCTCCAGGTTTGTTTCCTCTACATTTCTCAATCTTCCATATTTGAGATCTGGTCTATCGTCTATGGTTCTGAACAAATAGAGCCGCAACTATTTGAATCCTCATCTAGCAAGGAATCTATTAATTTCCCCTTGCCAGATGATGACTCTCTCATAGAACAGGTGAAGTTTATAAGCTCTCCTGGGTCAGTCCTAATTAAAAATCATGCTATACATTGGTCCGCAACATGAATGAGTGTTTTTTCTAAGTTTCATGGGTCAACTTCCATGTAAATGCTATTTGATGTGAAGTGTTGTTTCAGATCAAGCGCTTTCAAGTTCAACCAATTGGAATTCCCACCTGTAATTCTACAAAAGGCTGATGATCCAAAGTTTGTAACATTGTTGTCTGTTGCAGTCTTATAAGCGACAGTTGATGGATGTTTTAGCTACGTCTGACGTTATGTTAAATTTATATGAAACAAATGGCTGCAACTTCAGCATATTGTATTGTATGAAATTATAACTTCCCAACTTTTGCACTCTTTCAAGAACCATATGTTTACAAATCACCTGGTGGGGTAGTAATGTTCTTTTTTTCTTTTCCCAATTTAATGTTAAAGCTTAGAGTGTTTTTTGGAGAAAATACGGCTTAGAGTTATCTTCCCTCTTATTATTTTATCAAAATTTAATCTTTCTAGTTAAATTTTTTGCAGTAACATAGCTCAATAATTAATACATTGTCACGAAAATTTGAAATCTCATCCTTGCTATATTAAAAAAATAGATAAAAATGAATGACTACACAACGTCTTGTTAAAATTTAATTAATCAATTGCATTAACTAACACTAACTGGGTGAGTACT